GCTACATAAAAAAGGGGCCCGACTGAACAGAAGAGATAAAATATACTGGACTTGGCAATTTATTTATTGAGGAAAATATGATTTATCTGTTGGGTGGAAATGTATGTGGATTAGTGGTTAGTTTCAATTTGAAATTAAAATCAATTGTTTTCATTTAAAGGTTTGACAATCAGCTGTGACATTTACAGCACAGGTTTATGGAAGTGAAACACTGCGTAACAAAATGAGACTTTGCTCGACTCAGCACTGAACCATATCTATATAGCTTGGACACCACAAATCCACAGCTGGATAGATTTTGTACAAATGGAGCAAATTCAAGACATTCTGATCAGTTCATAAAAAACACCCGAAGAACACGGTCTGTAGCGGTCTGTGAGGTCACTATGGGTGATCTGTAAGTGTTTAAAGGGGCCTTTCATACTGGTCGATGTTCATGTGTATAGGTCCACCGTTAGGAGAGCGCTACACAACAATCGTGTGTATGAGAGGGCTGAAAGGTGAATGCCACAATTCTGTGAAAAAGGACATTTGCAGCTTGCTACAGGTCACATGAATAGTTCAGAAACTGCTTAAACAATATGTGGATGGGTGGAAACCAAAATACAACTTTGTGGCTTAAATGAGAAGCATTTTGTTACGAGGAAGGAAAACACAGCATTCCAGCGTAGGAATCGTATGAAAGACGGTGGTGGTAGTAGCTATGTTTGGGCCTGTGAATTCTAACAGTGAATTGTCAAGCAGATGGCCCCGCCCCTCCCTGAGCCTGGTTCTGCTGGAGGTTTCTTCCTGTTAAAAGGGAGTTTTTTCTTCCCACTGTTGCCAAAGTGCTCATATGATTGCTGGGTTTTTCTCTGTATCTCCTGTACAATATAAAGCGCCTTGAGGCGACTTGTTGTAAGGTCAGAATGGTTCAAGAGTAATTAAAGCTTAAGAGGCTTTGGACTGGTCATGTTAACCTTCTGACCCAAACTCAGCACTTCATGTTTTCAATAGTGGAAAAGACTAAGATTTCTTCTAGTCAGTGTGGAGGAAAGTTCAGCTGCAACTTTCAGAGCACAAGCTAAACGCTCTCATTCCCAATGCGTAACATACCGACAATTTGTCACGTCCTGAGGCATCTCATAGTAACCCAAAAGGTCCCTATGATACGCGCCGGAGTGTGGATGGAATTCAATAGAATGACGCTCCTGGTATTAGATATTGTTTTCCAATGTTTCCGACGGGTTGGGTGGCCAAAGTTTTGGGATGACAGCGTGTTGGGCTACTAAATAAAGTAAAAGGTCATGTTTTTTGACACTCCTTGTTAAACACTTAATTATTTTCCAAAACAAATATATGGCCAAGTCCATTATTCTCTGTCTCCTTTCTTTAGCATTCTCCTTATTTACTTTCAGGACTTAAATCAAAGGCTTAAGAAATTTTCAAACACATGTTAACAGTGGATTCTGTGGCTTCTCAGTTCATTTCGACTGATTTCTGTTGCTCTTACATTTGAAATTTAATGTCAGTGCCTTTATCTCCAGCACTTTAGCTGCACGTCAGCTGACTTTTCCAGCTCCACTGTATTTAGAAGCTCTTGATTCCTCTCAGTATTTGAACCTGAACTGAAATTGAACTTCTTTTAGTACTTCAAAAGTTTTCAACTGCACATTTGCAGCACCATTTTTTTTAAAGCAGAAATGTTGCATTTTCTAGAGCGAATAATATCTGCAAACTTTCTTAGGTTTTCCAGCCTTATCAACATATGTAAAAGAAAAAAGAAAAAAAAACACAGGTGATGTACATATGTGTTTGTGCATCTTTGTGAGTACTCATATGAGGACACCTGTTCATCTGAGCATGGCAACCAGATTTGTGCAATCAACTGTGTGTGTAGATGCGGGTGTCTATGTGCGCTGGCTTGCATATGTGAGCACCTATCCATTTGCGCGTATCTGTGTGATGTGATGTGGATGATGTGTGGTAGTGAAGCATATTTGCCTCCAAGCTATATCATTTGCATACTTGTCACAGCCTGTCCATTGGGTGTCAGGTTCACTGATGCATACTGTGTTCCATTGGCAGCTCTGGTATTCATGGAGTCCCACTGTTATGGTGAGGTGCCTGTCGAGTGCTGTTGCTTTGGCAGACAGACATCACATACGCATGAAGATAAAGAGGAGCACCTATTTGTCTATGTGCGTATGCACATGTGTTTGAGAGTGTGCAGATATGTAGCTTTATTTATGTCAAAGCCAACTGTCTTGGCTGTCAATCCATGCTGTATCAGTGCATCTAACCTACTGCTGTGAATAAAGACCCAAACATTGTTGCTTGATTAAATCAGGAGTGACCACCTTTGATGAGAAGAATGCCATTTTCTTTGTATATCTCTCTCCACTGAAGGAAAAAAAACTTGCAGAAAGAGAACACAAAAGAAAAGTGCATTGCTCCTTTAAAAAACAACAACAACAACAATTTAAAAAAAAACCTGACTCTATTATGACAGAAGAAGCAACGACGCTCCCTTCAAAACAGGAAAAACAAGTGCAAAATCTTCCAGGGAAGCAAATTCTTAATGGCTTTAGAAATTTTGAACTAGTTCTTCAAAGTCAAAGAGATCACTGTTGCTCAGATAAAACAGGAAAAAGAACACACGCACACACAAGGTAAGTAGGCTCCCAAAGCTTACACAAAAAGAAAAACACACTGGCTATGTTACACACGCACACAAACCCACAACAGAAAGCATCACGCAGAGTTTTGAACAAGATCCCAGTTTATCTCAACCTTCATCCCCTTTCCCTTCCAGCTGAACTTCCACGGTGTGAACCGGAAGGTGCCTCAAAAAAACTGCAAAAAATGCAGTTTTACTTTTTTTAAACAAGAAAGAAGAAAGTGCAGACAATAAACAAGGCTAAAATATTTTTACTGTGAGTTTGCTGTGTGGTATTTACTTTGATGGAAGTGGCTGCAAGAAGAGCATGCAAGCATAAAGAAAATATAGGTGCTAGAGGAGGTATGAGCATGCACACATGGAAACAGGCTCACAGGTGTTAAATGATTAGAGGACAAAGAGAAGACAGACACACAATAGAGGTTGTCCCTGCTGTTTCAGAGAAGAGGATTCTCAGCTTGACTAGATGATATAATGAGCTGTTATGTTCTGGGTGATGAGATGAGAGGAAAGGACAGAATAGAGGAGACGCACGAAAGGAGAGGAGGAATCAAAAAACAAACTCAGACAGACACACACATTGAATTACGCTGTTTTCTGAGCACCTTCAAACTGTGACAAAAGCCTCGGCTGTGTGAAAGGTTAAGATTTCAATTTTGGTGGCTACACGTCACAGCAGTGGAGGAGAGTCAGGAAAAATGAAAGGGCGAGGGCAGCATTTTTGGAAGGTGGTAGGAGTTAGGGGCCTAGGTTATTATTTATTTGTCATGTATTAGTTTAGTGGATTGTGCATGTGTGTGTGTGTGTGTGTGTTTGTGTCAGGTGAGAAACAAGAAAGGGGAGGAGTGGTGGGTGGGTGGGGGGGCAGATGCTAAAGGTCTCTGTTGATGATTTGCACGCTCCATCGAGCTGACTGCTGGGGCATAAAAACTTACATGGTCGGTTTCTTCAACCTGCCTGACCTCAATCTCCACTCTACACCAGGTCCCTGTGCTGCGTACCCACCCTGCGGAGCTCCTCCTCTTCGGAACCCTCACTTTTCACAACCTACATCACACACACACATTTGGAAAACAAAGAAAAAAGTCCTCCCAACAGACGTGGGTTCTCTCATAAATTGACCTTCAGAATAAATGCACACAGACACACACAAACAGAACAGGCTCTGAACCCAGCGCCGCCGCCACCTCAAACGAAAACACAGAGTGGAATTTGTTATGTGCATTTTGTTTAGCATAACAGCCAGACACTTGTCTCTTCCGTGTATTACCATATTTTTTTCTGTGGCTGCTCTATGCTGTACACATGCTGGTTCTTCCATGTGTGCAATGCAGCGAGCTGAGATGTTTCTATCAAAAGCATTAAAGTCATAAACCTTTGTGGAAAACACACATGCAACATCACAATATGCATTTTTTAGCCTCTATAAGCAGGAAGAGAAGACTTGTTTTTATTCAGCCTCTCGTCTGTCACTTAAAAACCAAAAAACAACATTACCATAAAGACTAGTAGTGATGCATATGTAAAACTGATCTTCCTATATCTAACTTTCCATGTGTTAATGAATCGTGACTTGCCTCTTCTTTTGGCGAGGCAGATTTTGCTAGTTATTGGCACTAGAGGGCACTAGGGCTGCATCTATATCCACCCACCCCTTCGCCTGTGGAGTATGTGTAGGGGAGCACATACTTTTCATATGTAGGGTCCTTATCTCACTCTCTAAATCTCTCTTTCTCCCTCTTCTCACTCACTCTATCGGTAAGATCAAACCCCCATCGGCCAGCTTTCAGGAGCTCTTCAGCCCTGAGAAGGTCAGCCGAAGGAAAACTTCCTCCCGTCCGCCTCCATTAAGACACCTGTGACCTTCAGTCTCCGTGATAAATGTAAGGCTGCGCTCATGATTGTAGCCGACAGAGATCCCGTTTGTTTCGCTGTTTTACAGCAACCGTCAAGCAGCAGCGCTAAATATGCCAACACAAGCCCCTTTTTCTCCTCTCTCTTTTGTAAATGAAATCAATAGACACAGCTATCACATCCCTATTCTGTCACTGCACATCTGTCGCAACAAGAGGCAACAAAAGATCAACATGCTTTTCTAGTGAGTACACATGACCTGACACACACACACACACACACACACACATGCGCTAACGCTCAAAACACAAACATTAAAATAATGACTCCAGTGATTACAAGATCAGTTGGCTTGATTTCAGTGGGAGATTGTTGCTGCGGAAACAGTGCTTGTTTGGTGTGTTTTGGAAGAGGAGAAATGAAGAGAGAACATTACTGCTGGTCTCTTTACTTTAAAGATGGAGAGATCACACACAGTGAAGGATACAGGTCTCCTCAGTGTAGGGAACAGGAGCAGTGCTGCCAGCTGTCATGTAGCTGTAGAAGGACACCTCGAGAGTGTAGCAGTAGGACGTGTCGTCGAGAAGACCGCCAAGGAAACGCCTACCGGTACCGGCCTTCACCACGTCACGGTTAAAGGAAGTGTTGGACTAGAGAAACAGATGGAAAAAAACTGAGATACATTAAAGGTTTAGATTCAAGTCTTTATGTCGGCAGAGATGCTGGAGTCTGGAGAATGTTATAGCATTTGTTGCATTAAGTCTGCAATGCAACAAATAGTATAAAAACTACAGAATTCTACTACAAAATGTTTCCCAAAGTCCCAGAAAACCTAATCTGGAAAGAAGAGGTGTATGACATGAGACCAAGTAGTCACACTATTTTCAAAAGCCTGAATGGACAGACACCTTCTTCCAGTCCAATGTGCTGGTTTTTGGTTTGCTGTCACCAGTTTCTGAAAAGTGGAGTACATCTCTGTTGTTTCTGATGGATCCTTAGAGGTTCTGTTTTAACCAAACACGGCTACAGCTTAGAAATTATCAAAAGAAAATCACAACACACAGCACAATGACTGGCTAGAGAAACCATGCAGAGGATTCAAGTTCCCTGCATTGCCTGGTGTGACTGTTTCAGGAAGTGTTTGAAGCACGCAACTAGTGTTAGGCTAAAAACAATCCTAGTTATGCAACTCTCTGGGCAGCACAATTTCTTCCTCTCTTGGAGCGAGGACAAACTGGATGTTAGTGGTTTACTATCTCAACATTATCTCAAAGTGGTATGAGATGAGAAGATGAGATGAGGCTAGCTGGTTAGCGTAATTCAGTAGATAGCTCTGCAGCACAAAACATATCGGACATCTCTGGCATAACTTCATCACAGTTAATTCCTTACATTCTGTTGAAGAATCGCACACCCCAAACCTTTAATGAATCAGAAAATAAACACTAATGTTTTACCAAGTCTGCTTTATGTAGAAATAAGCTCGTGCTTGCAAGTTAACTATTTCTACATCTTAAATTTCACCTCAGTTCCTAAATGTCCACAAAACATGAATGCAAACTTCTCTTGCAGACACGAAGAGGCAGAGTGTGTTTAACTAAAATCAAGCCGTTTATTAAAGTGGTGGTGAAAATACAAAATAGGGTACAAGTGAGAAGTAAATCTAGTGTCCAGGAGCTGGAATACATGAGAAGAAAGTGAAGTGACACTCTGACAAAGACAAAGGGGAAGACGGGAACTATATTTACACAGAAGAGGGATTATGGGAGTGGAAGAGCTGGGGAGAACGAGCATAGGTGAACTAAATCACGGGAAACAAGACGCAGGAAGCAAAACTAAAAGCAAAGCACAAAGAACAAGACTAAATTCAATAACAGGAACAAATACAAGAAGTAACACAAACACTAAGCACACCTGGAATCTCGTAATACTGATATAAACTAAACTGGAAAGTCCAAAAACCCGAAAATAGACCCAGGACCATGATACCTTCATGTCGAAGATCATCTCTGATGGTGAAAGCTAGTTTCCAGTTAAAACTGATTTCAGCAGCTCAATGCTGAAGAGTGCAAAAACAAGGCAGGGCATCAGGTCAGGAGCAGAGGAGTGTGCTTTTTTCCCCAACAGTCA